GTGGTGACTCTGGGCGTTCACTAGAGCACACGAGAACCGCGATCCCCAGATGCAGCCGAGACTCCTCCAGCCGACACTGCCGGCAGCAGCGCTGTCGGGGCCGCACTCACCGGGTGGGCATCAGATGGTTGTAGTTGTAAACCTTCACGAAGGACTTGATCTTGGACCTCTTCGCGATCTTCTTCTTGCCCATGGCAGCCGTCACCTTGCGCGGGTAGCGGTCGATGCCGGCCACCAAAGCGTGGCTGTACGGGCGGTCCGAGGTGCCATCGTCGATGTTCTGAAACACACGGGCCGCAGCGGCGGTGGCACCGCGGGGACCCCGCCCGTGCCGCCCCCCCGGCACGACCGCGCGGAGCCGCGCCCGGAGCGGCCCCGCCGGATCAGCCCCGCGCTCACCTTGACGATCACGGCCTTGCGCCCCGAGTAGCGGCCGGCCAGCACCAGCACCACCTTCCCCGGCTTCATGAACTTCCCCATCTCTGCGGACACAGCAGCCGGCTGTCAGGCCGAGCCCGCGCCGCGCCCCGCCCGCCGCACCCGCGGATGGCGGCGGATCCCGCGCCCGGCCCCACTCACCGAGGCTCCGCCGCGATGGCGCCCAGGCCGGAAGAGGAAGCTGCGGCCGCGCCCCGACCTTTCACGGCGCGATCGCGCGTCACTTCCGCCGCGACACCGGGAGGCGCCGCCGGCACCGGGCACGGCGGGGCCGGGTGTGTCTCCGCCCCCCATCCCCGGGCACGGCGGGGGCCGCGTAACGGAGCCGGTAACGGACACAGCACACGGCACGGTGGCGGGCTCGGCCCACACGCACTACAGCGGTATTTAATACACCCCGCGAGACACCGGGCCGTGCTGGCCCTTGCACAGAAGCCTGGAACAATTTGCTCGGACCGCTGGACAAAGCAGCCTGGCAGCCCGAGAGACGCGGGTTGCGGAGCTGCTGGAGGAGACCCTGGAGCCCCAGGGCACCTGTGTATCTGCCTGTGTCTTCTACATCCACCTTGGAGAGGGCAAGTCCCGTGCGACTGGGCAGTCTCCGAGGTGCCTCAACACCTGCCAGCCTCGCTCCTCCAGGAGGGGTCTCGTGGGTACATCATGTGGAGCACAGACGGTGAGAAATAACCACACAGGAGCTTAGCTGCAGGTCCCCTCTGCCCCCCACCCCAACACTCACTGGCACCTGGGCAAGGCAGTTTTGCCCCTGAGAGCAGCAGAGCTGGGGTAAGGAGGTGCTGCCCATCTCACAGCCTCGAGCAGCTCTGCAGGGACAACCTTGGACAACACACACTTCCAGCATCATCATGACACTCTAAGATTTCACTAAAAGCAAATATCAAAGAGACAAAGTTGGGTCTTACAAAAGCCAGGCTTCTTGAGCCCAACAGCTGCCTACTTGTGGAAAATGGATGATCTACAATAAAAACACATCAAAAAGCATCTTTGATGTTTTTCAGCTGCCGAACAGCCAGATCAACCGGGAGACTGAACTTCAAGTTGCTCAGGCGGCTGAGGAGGGTGAGTGCGCTCTCAAAACCCGTGTTGGCCATGTAGCTCCAGGGCTGGTAGTGGGACTGCACTAGAGCTCCAGACTTGCAGATGAGGTTGAGCCAGGAGACCAGGCGCTGCTCGTTCAGTGCCATGCACACCAGCGCCTTCAGCTCCGAGTCCGCGCTGCGCTTGAAGGGGCCGTGCTCCGTGAGCACCGTGTGGATGGCAGCCAGCAGGCTCTGCTTGGGGGTGGTGGCCACTGCTCCTGTCACAGGCAAGGCGAAGGACTGGGAGAGCTTGCGAGCCGGGGATTCCACGAAGGCTTGTCCGTTCTTAGCATTGTAATACTTGACAAAGAGCTCCCAGGGGTGCATGGTCCGCGGCGAGGGGGTGAATGCAGGGATCAAGCACGCAATGGGTGCCAACACCAGGCTCATGCCAGGGGAAGAGGCGTAGAGCCCGTGAGCCATCAGGTCCCGCAGAGCGACCGTCAGCTCCCTGCGCACAGCCAGAGTCAGCTCATCTCTGCCTCCCAGGGGAACATCCTGCAGCTCAGAGCAGACAACCTGCTCTGCCTGTTGGTGTTTCAAGGCGAGCTGCCTCACCCGCTCCACCGACAACTCCAGTTTCTTAATTAAGGGGGAGAAGTCCTTGTTGTCTTGGTCCTTCTGCCAGAAAGTGCGAGGGATCTGACCTGTGGCACAGCCAAACTGGCTGACAGCAAAGATCTGCAGCACAGCCAGCACACGGCGCATGAGCTGCAGGCCCGTTTCTCGCATCCTCTTGGCATCTTCTGGGTTCACTGACCAGGTTAGAAAAGAGAAAAACATACTCTCGTTAGGGAGTCAACAACGCTGTTTGTTCATACACACAAAGGGAATGTAAATGTTTGCAAACTCCATCAGGCCAACATTCTGACTAGCAGCAGACCCCTCATGCTACACTACTTAGTTCCAGTAAGTTCGTGGGATAATTAGGGAAGTCTCAAACTCTGAAGAACACTGGATCCCCCCAGCTCACAGTACCTGCTTACAGAGTTCAGAGCTTGAAGAGCATGAATTAGAGTGTGTCAGACAGGGCTGCTCAGTCTGTCTGTGTTTTGCACTATCAGCAGTCCCTTTTCTTCCTGACCCCTGCTGAGTACCAATCCCACCCTCTCTGCCACACATTCAGGCCCTGTAACTACTATAAGGATCACATAGAGGGAGGGTAAAGGAACTGGACACAGGCCCTCAGCAGTGGGACTGGGGAAGTACAGAGACCAACTGCCAGGAAAAAGCAGAGTATGACTGGTTTGTGCCTGTCAAAGCTCCAGGGAGGGACAGCCAGAACTGTGCTGGCAGCACCAAGCCCAGTGGTGCCCACCTCTGTTCCCAGAAGGCTGGGTGCTGGGTTTGTAGGAGCCCCCGCAGTCACAGTGTCCATCTTCTGCCTTACCAGAGCTTCCAACTTCATCTACAACAAGGATTTCACACCATTATTTCACATTTATGAATTTCAGCTGTGCATACAGTATTAAGGTCAACATTCCTCAGACCTCTCTGGACCTCTTTTGCCACTCTATCCTTTTCCTCACCATCAGTTTAGAAAGATTTCTACTTTCCTGTGACCCAGAAGCTGTTTCCAACATCTGTGACCTCCCTCCTCATGACTGTGTCAGGGAATTACACAGCAATTCAGTCTGCTCATCCAAAAACTCATCACTGACCCTGAATGAAGTTGATGAACATTTCGAGGTCCCTTATCTGGGTCTTCAGTTGTTCCACCAGCTGCTCCTTCACCCTGGCTGGATTTACAATCTGTGCTATGGCAGCATCCACCCGCTGCCGCAGTTCCTCTGGAGAGAGCGTTGCAATATCTTCACTCAAGTCCATGTCCAGCTTCTTTATCAACTCATTTATAATCATCTGCAAAATACAAGTGAGCAGCATGATTTCACCCTGTGGCACTGCTGCCCGGGATACTCCTTTCCCAGACGCTCGCTTGGAAACAGGACACCTCTGCTGCACAGAAATAATTGCAAAAGACACAGGACAGGTTCACATGTGTAGAAAAACTCCTGACACTTTCAGCTGCTAGCAAGAAATACAGATTAATAACCACGTACAGTCTGTAATCCCTCACAAGGGCTAGGAAATGCAGGAGGTTTTGTGAGCCTTACCCGTTGCCTTTCCATAACCACAGACTGTGGCAAAGAGTCATAGCTGCCCTCTTGGTAAGCAAAGGTCTCCAGGTCATCCAGCTGTGTCTTGAGCTGCAGGATCAGCTCTCTGTGCTTCTCCTTCTGGACCTCAATTTGTTCCTGCTTCTCTTGCTCACCCTGAAAAAAAGTTACCAGTAAATCAAATTGAAGGCTTATTGTCATAGTCAGGCCCCAGAGAACAGGACCATGACATGAGGAATGTTTCCTGCAGCTCAAGCACTTCACTAGCGAGTACTGCAAACCAGCCTGAGAAAGAAATGTGTCTAAGCACCAAGACGAGGTGCCAGCCACATCACCTCATCTGACAGGGGAAGGAAAGTGCTTCTCCAGGCCTCCTGCACCCACACCCCATCCCACAAGGCTGGGATCCAGGAAGAAAGTGGCCAAATAATGTGTATGTAAATAACGTGTTCATATCACAGATCCTCTGACTCACCTGTGCCGTAGGTGGGAGTGGAGCGGTGACACACCACTCAGGGCTTTAGGGCACGTCCCTGCGAGCTGGCACCGAGTCAGCAGGGCCCTGAGTGTGTCTGGCACCGATCTCTGTGCAAACACCAGCACTGCGGGCAGCGCAGCTGCTGAGCCCCCGCCGGCAGCGCTAACGGGCTTCAGCCGGGACACGCGCACGTAGAGATGCCGGGGCGGGCAGCGCGGGGCCGGGAGCCACGGGACGCCGGTACCCGCGGCGCCGGTGCTCTCTGTGCCCAAACAAGGCCCCGCTCCGCCCGGCCGCGGGCACTCACCGGGGCGGCGCCGAGCCCGTGGGGCAGCGGCGCGGGGCAGCCGCGGAAGGCGAAGTCCTCGAGGTCGCGGAGCAGGCGCTGCTGCTCGGCCGGGCCGGCCCGGGCCACCTGCCGCAGCCGGAACTGCACCTGAGCGAAGTGCGAGGCGAGCGCCAGCAGCGCTCCGTGCAGCCGGCGCCGCTCGGCCCGCAGCCGCGGCACCGACTGCGGCGACCCGCCGCCTGCCACCTCGTCCTCGTCCTCTTCCTCCTCTGCCTCCTCTTCCTCCTCCGCCGACACGGCGCCCACGGGCGCCCAGCGCTCGCCGGGGCCCAGCGGGCCGCCCTCCGCCTCCATGGCCGCCGCTACCGGCGCCGTGACACCGCCGCCATCTTGCCGGCGCGGGGCGGGGCAATGGGCGGGGCCATGGGCGGGGCCAGCGCGCCCCCTCGCGGCCCGGTGGGGCGGGCACAGCGGGCGGTGACCGGGCCGGGGATTGTCCGCGCTGTGTCCGCGCTGTGCCCGCCCCGGCCGGCCCCGCTCCCGGCCCCGCTCCCGGCCCCCGCTCCCGGCCCCGCTCCCGGCCCCGCCGGCAACCGCGCCCCCTACCCGAAATAGCGCGGGGCGGAGTCTGCACGGCCATGGCGAGGTGAGCGCGGTCGGACGGGACGGGCAGCGCCTGCACGGCGCCCGGTCCCAGGACCCTGCGACCCGGGACCGGCAGGGGGGAGCGGGAACAGGGTCGGCCGGGCCCCGCCGCCAGCCGGTCGAGGGGCGTGCGGGGCGGGAGAGGGGAGCGCCGCCTGCCCACCGCCCACCTCCCGGCACGAACCCGCCCGGCTCCCGCTGCCAGCCCCGGGGCTCGACCCAGGCAGGACCCAGGCGGCCGGGGCCCCTTCCTCGCCCCTGTCTCCCGTGCGGGCCCTGCAGAGCGCTGTTGGGCACCGGGGGAATGTCCGCTGGTGACACCCTCTGGTCTGCTCTTGCCCAAGGCAACCTGCAAAGACGCTGTGGTACGACCGCCCGCGGTACGTGTACCTGGAGTTTTGTGTCGAGGACAGCAGAGACGTGAAGGTCGTCATCGAGGACCAGCGGCTGGTGTTCAGGTGAGCAGCCACTGCCCTGCTGACTGGCGACATGGCCTGAACTGGGGGTTGTTTGGAGGATACCGAGGCCTCTGAGAAAGCAGGGCATGCATGGCCTCAACCATCTCCTAAGCCAGGCTGTTACGGTGTTTTGGCAGTTGCAAAAATGCAGACGGTGTGGAGTTCTACAACGAGATCAACCTATATGCCAGAGTCAACTCCAAGGTGAGGCTTCCCCCCAACAAACTGTTCTCCACCAGCCTCTATAAGGCTCAGAGTCAGAGCCAGCCTGTGTGGTCTTGAGCAATGCTGCTTAGTGTTGAATCCTGCCTGTGTCCCAAGAGCTTCAGTGAGGTGAGCACACGCCTGAGAGCCCTGCCCCTGCCCAGGGCTGGTACTTGGGGTGCTGGCTTGAGCCAGAAACAACGTGTCTCCGTGGTTCTTTATCCCCCTCAGTCTGTGCGGGGCTGAGCTTTATAACCCTGTCTAGCTCTGCAGAGAGGAGTCTGACAGACTCTGAGGTGAGGCACCCCTGATCTCTTGGCAGGACTCACGGGAGAAGCGCTCTGACCGGTCCATCACATGCTTTATGAGGAAGTGGAAGGAGAAAGTGGCCTGGCCACGCATCACCAAGGAGAACATCAAGGTGTGTGTGGTGCCTGGCAGCCAGGACCAGCCTCAGCACGTGTCCTGTCCCCATGCAGCACCTTGTGGCTCCCAGGGACCAATCTGCCCCTGGGACAGACACAGAGGGCCCCACAGGGGACCTCGAGACAGAGCTCCCAAAAATCCCAACCTGACAATCACTGCTAGTCCACAAATTAGTGCAATCCAGGAAGGATGCAGCACCTCTTTTCCTCGACACAGGCAGGGTCAGGACCGGTGCCTGCAGGCAAAGGGACATCCCAGCTTCCTGCCTCTTCCCAGGCCCTGTGCAGGAGCAGCTCATGGGCTGTGAGTCCCTGTGGTGCTGCTCCCCCCTTCAGGGGATGCTTTCTGTGCCCACAGCCGGCCTGGCTCTCTGTGGACTTTGATAACTGGCGAGACTGGGAAGGTGATGAGGAGGTGGAGAGGGCCATGGTGGAGCAGTACGCAGACGTGAGCTGGGCTGCCGGCTTCAGGGTCCAGGGGCACATCAGGTGAGTGCTTGGGATAATGGGGGAGCCAGCTGTTTGTTTCCCATCCAGATGCTGGAGAAGGTGACAGACAAAGGCCCCCCGCCAGCCATGGATGACCTGGATGTAAGTACCACCTGCCAGCTACTTCCCACCACCCTGCTGAGCAGAGCCCGGGCTCTGACCTCTCCCGGCTCCAGGACAGCGGCAGCAGCTCCTGCTGCTCCCCTCGGGCTGCCTGTCCTGGAGCCAGTGCAAACACAGTCCCTGGGCTGCCAGGGGCTGCCAGCCGGTGCAGGGCTGGCCCGGTCCCTGGCATCTCCCACTTCTCCCACAGGACGACTGAAGTCCGGGCTCCCGGGGATGCCGCGGCTGCAGGAGCCTCCCGACGCGCCGGTAGCACGCACCGATGGACAGGCAGCGCGGGGAGGGTTTTCCGAGAGACCAGAGCTGCCTCAGCTTGTGCCCGCTTGTGCAGCGCACCCGCCCCCGGGCGGCAGAAGCAGTCCGGTCTGCCGTGCCCGGTTACCCGCGCGGGGCATGGGGCAATAAACGTGTACTGCCGCAGTTGTCTGCTGTGCCCTCGGGCCGCCGCCGCGCCAGGCGCCCGGGAGCCGTCCGTCCCCACGGGAGAGCCGTCCTTCCCCGCCCGGGAGCGGTCCCTCCACAACCGGGAGCGGTCCCTCCACAACCGGG